TCCAGACATCTTCAAGTTGCTAAGGTTGAGAAACACTGTCCTAGACACTTCCCCATCTTCAAGTTGCTAAGGTTGAGAAACACTGTCCTAGACACTTCCCCATCTTCAAGTTGCTAAGGTTGAGAAACACTGGCCTATGGTACCTTTCTGGTCCTGAGTTGGTCCCTGTCGTTTTCATCCTACTCATCCTTCCTATTAGATATATCCTTCTCTACTTTTGACTATCTTTTCGGTCTCTATTGCTTTATTTAACTTCCTAGTATGGTTGATTGCTTATGTTGATTATAATTCATAATTATGTTGATTGCTTATATCATATCCTGTGACTATCACTGTGTTGTATCTTATGATTTATGATGAATGTATTTATGATGTATTTATGATCATGATTTATCACTTATACCTTTTATGTACATTGAGAGCTTAGGCACCGAAGACAAATTTCTCCAATCACACTTAGTCCATCTAGCTTCTTCTGTGTATCTTCTTATTTATTATTTTATATAATACTACCCTCACGAAACAAATACTGGGGGGGGGGGTGTAAGACACCCGCAGGGTGTGTGTGTGTTGGGATGTGTGTGTTCCAGCATGACTCTGGAATGCCTGGCCCATTAAGGAGAGCGAGTGTGGCGTCCTAGAGCAACCATTGTTTGTGATGTCAGTTCCTTTGCAGCTTCCTCTGGAAAGGCAGCTGTGACATTCGCCCTCCAGTGGACCAATAGGGAAGCACCTGATAGATTTGGGGCAAAGTGCCAGGATCTTAGACAGGGCAGGAAAGAAGAACGCATGGAAGGGGGAACAGAGAGGACAGGGATGATGGATATGGGAGTAGGGGGAAGAAAGGCTCCTCTCAATGACTACCCGTCAGATAAGAATGTTGATGTCTATAAATACCCAGGCAACACCGGATTATCAGCAAGTAGAGAATAAAGAATTCTATTTTGGAATTCTAGTACCCATAACTGCATTCAGGATTCCAAATTGGGTCTGGTCAAAGCAGAGCAAAGGATAACCATGCCTTCTCATGAGGAGGATGCTACGTTTCTACTCATGCATCTGCTTAGAAGGGTTGATGGCCATCACCTTATTTTGGGGGTATCAACTCAAAATCTCAAGACTTCTTTTATAATGGGAACCAACAGGATAATTAGTGTAATTTTGGATGGATCATTTGTGTTAGATGCACAGGTGCTTCTTGGCATGGAGAATCTATCAAGCCAGAAAAAATCCCAGATTGGGGCTGACAGACGAAAGTGGAAGCATTATGCTCTGTCCCATAGACCAGATTGCCTTGATTTAAAAAAAAAAAAAACTTATTCTCTCACCTGGATTAGCGAACAAAGCGAGGAGAGCCCGTGGCTTAGAGGTTAATACATATACCTAATATATAAGTAGCTGGGTTCAAATCCCAGAAGGGTATGGCCAGCCAACGAGAGCTAAATAGCTTGAAATAGATCTATACTAGTCAGTAAAATATAAATTGGACACAGAAAATATCAAGTCAGAAATCACAGTGTTTCTAGGGCCTGGCCAAAGTAACGGTGGTATTTCCCAAAGTTGCTTTTTTCCCCAAAAAGGCAACTGGACTTGAGAAGCGAAACATTTTCAAAAAAAGAAGAATGCCCAGTTACCTTTGTAGGGGGGTGAAAGCTTACAAGGATGGGACCCTCCCTCTTGGAATGGACCACCAGAGCCTCCAAAGCCCATGGCAGTGTACCTGAAGACTTGGCAATATTTGTTTAACAAATGTCTTACTTAGCAACAGAAACTCTGGGCACAATTGTGGTCGTAAGTGGAGGAACGTACGGTAAATACCTGCCAGAAGATTATACAGAGTCCAGTCTCGTGGGAGGTCCCCTCTACTTGGGACCAATTAAATGGGTTACTTTTAGCACAATCGGGGGTCTGCTGCTTTCTCCACGCCAGGCCTGGCCTGAAGGTTGTGCAAGACAAGTTATCCCTAGGAGAAGGAGGGAATTCCCACACTCACCTTCATAGTCCCAATTTTGTTCTCAAACATCCCAATCCAGACTGATGACCCTAGAGCCTGGTTTTCCTCCAGGTACTTGGACAGTAGCTCTGTCTCTTCCTCATTGGCAATAGAAACGAGGTGGCTGTTTATCGTTATGGACTGGCAATCCAGCTGAGGGAGACCAAATAGAAGAGGTTTCACCCTACAGAACAGGGGTCCCCAACCCTCGGGCTGCTGCCTGGTACTGGGCTGTGACCCGTTCAGAACTAAGCCGCTAGAGCTATGTTTATGCACACATGCATCTCCATTCCTGCAAGCAATAGCAATAGCAGTTAGACTTATATAGCGCTTCATAGGGTTTTCAGCCCTCTCTAAGCGGTTTACAGAGTCAGCATATCGCCCCCAACAACAATCCGGGTCCTCATTTTACCCCCCTCGGAAGGATGGAAGGCTGAGTCAACCCCGAGCCGGTGAGATTTGAACCGCTGAACTGCAGCTAACAGTCAGCTGAAGTGGCTGCAGTACTGCACTCTAACCACTGCGCCACCTTGGCACTTGTGCACGTTAGTGCCCGCTGCTGACACAATTGGAGCTATGCACATGTGTATGTCCTCCGTTCACGTGGAGCTATGTTCTGGTCTGTCGGCCACCGGCCCTTCCAGCAGCCAAATCAGAGGAGGAGGAGGTGTGGGAGTTAGGGCCAGCATCAAGGCAACCTGAGAGTTGTGAGGGGGAAGAGGGAACGGAGCTCTCAGAGAGAGAGAGGGGCAGAGGTGGAGCCTGGGCCGCCCGTCAGCCCACAGATGGAGAACCAACAGCCCCAGGTCTGGAGATGGCTAAGGAAGAACAGCTGGGTCCAGTATCTGACGGGCGGATGCACACAAGGGAGAGGAGAGCAGTGGAAATCAATGGGCCGGTCCTT